TCATTGTGAAAACCTGGCCCCACCTTATCATGCGAATTCCTGAGGTCAGATGGCCCAGGATGTGAGTGGGCGTTAAGGCGTCTGGGAAGGGATCTCAAAACTGGATTATAGATATAAGCCTGAAGGAAAAAAGAAGGAACACACGCATGTAAAGGAAGCACTCAAAATGTGCAGCTATCCTAAATGGGCGTTCTTAAAGTCAGCAAAGAGGCACAGAAAAGAAGATCAGACACCAGCGAGGGAGGATAAGAAGGACAGACGCAACAACATTGTCATCCCTTATGTAGCCGGTGTATCAGAAAAACTCAGGAGAGTTTTCTCCAAGCATGACATCCAGCATTTCAGACCCAGCAACACGCTCAGACAAAAACTGGTTCACCCGAAAGACAAAACGCCAAAACACAAACTTAACAATGTGGTGTATGCTGTACAGTGCAGCGAGGAATGCCCAGACCTCTACATCGGAGAGACCAAACAGCCACTTCACAAGCGCATGGCACAACACAGAAGAGCCACCTCCACAGGACAAGACTCAGCAGTCCATCTGCATCTTAAGGATAAAGGACACTCTTTCGAGGATGCCGATGTTCACATTTTGGACAGAGAGGACAGATGGTTTGAAAGAGGAGTGAAAGAAGCCATCTATGTCCACTGTGAGTGACCATCTTTGAACAGAGGCGGTGGTTTATGACTCCAACTCTCTGCCATCTATAATCCAGTTTTGAGTTCCCTCCCCAGACGCCTTAACGCCCACTCACATCCTGGGCCATCTGTATTCCATTACAGTTACCATTTAAAAAGGTGGTAATTAGAATACAGTTACTTTGTTGAAATAAATGGATTACACTGCGGTATTTTCCTGTTTCATATTGTCGCTGGTCAGGACTGTTTGGGTTTTGTTTGTTCTGTTGTTCCAGACGGCAGCGTTACGGTTGCCATGGTTACAGGATGACGCGCTCTCTCTGCTACTGTGTGTTTCCTGGGTGAGAGAGCATGTCACTACCCGATCCGTACCGGAAACCCAACCGGAAACCCATGTTTTGAAGGAAGGAAGGTTCAGGGCTGAAGCAATCAGCATCATGGGCTCATCCGGTTAGAATAAGAAAAAGCAGCCATCTAATTCAGAATTATTCTCAGGGTTCTCCTTTTATTCTCAAATAAATAAGGCAAAGAAGGAAGGAAACAAAGACACACATGGACTGCTACAGCTCAGCTGCCGCCCCGTGTGGAAGTGAAGAAAGAGTGAGCCAAAAGTGAATGCAGTCCTTATATAATGTGTGACAGGTGATTGCAATCGAGGACAAGCACCACACCCAATCAAAGGTGAGAGAACTAAACAAGGTGCATCTGGTGAAGTGAGTGGGTGTGCTGGGATGTGCCAAAGGGTGGGTCTCTACAACAGCCGCCCCCATATTTTCTAGAGAGAAATATGTTGATATGGTCAGGATCGATCTTCGTCAGGAAGTGGAGGCAGGGGGATCAGACAGGAGACAGGGCGGATATAGATTTTATCCTGTACTAAGACCTCCACAGTTCTGATGCGGTCATCTGGGCTTTTCAGCAGGCGTGTCACTCTTCCTACAGGCCAAAGGGCACGTGGAAGGTGTGAATCCATAATCATGACAACAGAGTTCAATGTGAGATCTGGGTTCTCCTTCTGCCATTTGGGTCTTCTTTGGAGGGATGGTAGATAGTCTTTTATGAAGTGCCGCCAGAAGTGATTTGCGGCATGCGCGAAAGGTGTCTACTTCCGGTCAAAGCGTTTTACGATAGTTACGGGTCAGAGTATCTGTTAAGATGTTAAGAATAATAAGTATCTCTTAAAATATTTCCGATAATGAAACATTTAATATAATGTAGACAAAAACAAAAAAATAAAAAGATAGTGACGGATCAGTACTCCCCGATCCTTACTGCGCATGTGCAGGGGTTTTCTGCCACCTGCTGACCGAGCGAATGAACCCTATTGTAAACTGAATTAGCGTCATTACAAACATGTGTTAAATTTGATTTAGTGATAGTCGAGTGTCTTTATGCTTGTCTGTGTGGAGAGGATTGATTGGAATAGTGATGATGATGTCCGCTATCACTGTCAATTGTCAGTAAACACTTCATCTGGCTGATGAATCTTCACGTGACATATTACAAAGTCTGTAATATTAACTCTGTAATTAGGCGCCATTCTTCTTATTTTACGGCGCTGTTGTTCAATCGGGGAACACTCTCTGTTGAGGAGAAAAGCATGAATTTGTTTGTATACAGATTATCCATAGTTTAAATGTTCCGGTAGTCGAAAAAGGAGGCAGAGCTGTTGAGAAATGCTAGGAGCTAACTGGGCGCTAACCGTATCATTCAAATATATTGAATGTCGCAATGCTGGCAAAGAGAGGAAGTGATGTAAGATTTGTGCATGCGGGGTACCGATCGAGTTTCCGGTACAGATCGGGTAGCGACAGAGCGCCTTTTTGTTGTTGTTGTTGTGCTAAGCTAATAAGCAGAATGCTACAGTCATAGGTCGTGTCCAAATTCATGGGCTGCATCCTCCTGAGGACGCATTTGTAGACTGATTACGTCACAGCGACGCGCCGAAGGCTGTCCAGATTCGTAGACTCCTCTGAATGCAGCCGACAAATGTGTCCTCCTTTTCCCCGAATTTGAAGGATGGGTCGGGTGTGTCCTTCGTGGCCTACCATATCCCAGAATTCATAGCGTGGCCCAGCCAAACTCCAGTTTCCAACAATGGCGGCCGCTACTAAGTTTTAAAATTACTCATACTAATCTTTCTGGGTCACAAAATAAACTTTTAACATATTTTCAGGCGATAAAGTAGCTGTGTAAACATCAAATATCTGCTCGGTTTATCAAGATATCGCATATTTTCAAAAGTGCTTCGACGTTTTCGGAGACGTCTGCTACCCACCAGCTCGATAGCTAGTTGGGAGCTCGAGGGTCAGTGAAGCCGCCGAGAACGGCACAACTCCCGGCACATCATTTTCAGATCACCGCGGAGTTTCACTACTCGGGTTAAACATAAGTCACTTAGACAACCTAAAAATGTTATTGTTGGGCTTTTTTCAGTGTTTTCTTTGTTCGTGAGTAAATCGATTTGGCTGAGATTAAAGGAGAGTGGAAAAGTACAAGTTGTCATCGAGCAGAAACGGGAGCTGGAAGCATGTAAATATAATAATAACCACTGCAGCCAAGAAGAGTGCCTGACGAGCCCAGTTGTAAGTAAGCTATTAAGACTAGACTGTACACCATGTTCGTGTTTTCCTCCGAAACAATAAGTTCCGTTGCAGCAGCCTTTCAACGCCTCTCTCTGTCTCTTGCAAGCAAAGTTGACCCAGACAACAAAGTAAAGCTAGTTTTTGGCTACGAGCCCGACACGAGCCCGACACAAACCCGACGGATTAGCCAGAGGTCCCTTTACTACGGTTCGGAGCCGCGGACCTTCAGTAATAGTAATAAATCACACAGCAATAGTACATTCATGTAGTTGTAAAAAGCAAGATAATATATTAAGTAATCCAAAGTATTCAGAATACGTTACTCTCACTGAGTAACGTATTCTGAATACGTTACAAAATACATTTTGGGGCATGTATTCTGTAATCTGTAGTGGAATATGTCAGGTTTATATTATTGGATTGTCATTTATGCTTAGAAGTATTTACTCATATATGCTTAGAGTTTTATAATCAATTGCATGTTGATAGAGGTCTGATCCTTAGCAGTCTGTAAAGACTCTGTGTGCCTTCCAGAGTGTTCTGGCATACACACTCACATCCTGGGGTCACAAGAAGAGGTCGTACCTTCTTTTATTGTTTTATGGTATAGCAAACACAAGTATATCTGTTTTAGTCTAAGTGCCTTTTGTTTAGATGAACTGCTGGACTTCCAGACCAGCAGGTTTAGGGAAGTCGTTTATGGGGTCACATCTTGACCACACACACACACACGGTACTCTTTGTTCACATGTGTACCTATGTTAATGAACCTATGCATATTCATTAAAGTGTCCTTAAATATCTTAAATGCTTTCATAAAATATTATGTTTCTCCATGAATCTAAGAAGATCAGAACAAAATAAACACTGCTCACAGATATGGAGGATGAACATAGACTTACAGGAAACAGCAAGATGTTAGTGATAAAAGATGGTTTCCTGGCAAAAGCCAGTCATAATTTGATAACAAGGACACCCACAGTACAGGCACATTATGCAACAGCAGCTCTGTACTGGATGAGTTACAACATATAGTCATGCGAAAAAAATAATCATCCAAAGTCTGATAAAAAACTAAGTAAAATAGGATTCTCACAACCTGTTTATCAATAAAAGGCAAAATCAGATGAAGATCTCCTAATTGCCACTCTCCACTTGTGCTAATCTACCATTTTTAGGAGCTGACCTGTTGTTTTTGTGCTGTTTCCAAGAAATTATAATGTTTATACAAGCTTCTGGATGTTTTAAAAAGCAAGAGAGAGAGGGAGAGAAATTCTCCCCTTTTAGCACTTTCATGTGTAACGTTATTATCTCATTCTTGTGTTGAGGTTATTTTTAATCACATATCACACAAATGTCTCTGCAGCAATGACAGTAAATAATCAATCTTTAAAAACTGATTAAAAATACTATCTAGCATGTTTCTATATAGTTTCTAAATAAGAACTTTAAAGGTCTTAGGCAGGAGCCTAAAGTTTTAATTGCTAACTTTCTGATTATTTTCTTTATATGAATCTGAAATCTGAAACTTTAAAGTTCTTAAAAAAACTGCGTAAAGAAATTTAACTTTTATTAGTTTTCATATGACTATCATATACAAAATTATCTTTAGAAAGGATCAGATCCACTTTTACTGGTAAATGAGTGCTGTGAAAATCATATCAACATCTGAAATGTGTGACATCCTCGAAAGTTCAAAAAAAGAAGAACTTGAAACTACTGATAATTTGAGGTTACAAGTGCTGAGCTACAGATCTCACCATTTAGGAAATAGTTTGCCTGCTTGTGAGCAATGGAGGAAATTTCTGCCAGTGCTGAATCTGCTGAACAAGACAACCCAAAACTGTCAACACATCACACAGGTAGGAAGTGATAGATTTATTTTAACAGCTGTTGTTACTGTTGTATAATTCAGTCTTTTTTTCTTCTCTTTTCAGGTCCAAAGAGCTGTAAGGAGAATCGTTATTTAGGTGTTATTGTGTTGTGGAGTCTGCTGGGTGTTTTGCTTCTTATTGGATTTGTCACTTATGGTGTCCACTGTGAGTCTGATTCTCAAAAATAATTGTTCAAACTGCCACTGAGTGCTGAATTAATATTTGACAAGCTAAGCAATGTTCAAAGTTTTTATGGTTTAAAATAAATCAGAAGCAGTCTAAGTATGAATGCACAAGATGTTTTGTGTCTCAAAAGCCTGCCCTAATTTATTTATTTCAGACTTTATTATGATTGAGGAAAGAGACAGCCTGAATGCAAATCTCTCCACTGTGAGTAAAAAACTTGCCGTCATGACTGAGGAAAGAGACCTGCTGCGTGCCAACTTCTCTGAAAATCTCAAAGAGCTTGAAGTGCTTCTGAGTTCTCTGAGTGAGTCCTTTTATTTACCGTTGTCTTTACAGTGATTCATTCTCTAGCAAATACTGTTCTCCTTTTCTCTCACTGAGAAGAAACTTAATTAACTTAAATTAATTAAACTTAAGTGCTTAAGAGACCAAATATGCATTGTCATTTGGGATTGTGGCTCTTCAAGACTTTGCACTCACTGAAATTATTCGAAATTCATAAAGTCAACCCAAGAAAGTTGCTGGATGATATTTCATTTAATTTATTTCCATCCAGCCATTCGCTTGCGCTTATCCAATTCAGGGTCACTGGAGCCTTTCCCAGCTACCATAGTGCAAGAGGCAAGGTACAACCTGGACAAGTGGCCAGTCTATTGCTGGGCCAACACATAGAAACACACAACACACAACCATTCACACTCACATTCTCACCTATGAACAATTTAGATTCACCAATTAACCTAACCCCAGTAGTAGCAACATTGCCGACTGCATCACAAAATCAAACCAGTACAAAAATGCTGAAATTGATTCCTTTATAGAAATTGTAGTTACATTTATAAATTAATGAGTCTACAACAAATAGACCTTAATATAGGTAGTTACAGTCATTCCATCTAAAGTCAGACATTTTTTTTCTTTAGAACATTCTGCTTGACCATCACACATTTACATACAAATTTCATGGTTCAGAGTTTGAACACATCTAATGGGTTTTGTGATCATTTATCTTCATATATATTATAGCACTTTTCTACTCTGCTTGAGCAGTCAAAGCACTTTTTTAACATGCCTCATTCATCTAGTCCAGGGGTCGGCAACCTGCCTGCGGCTCCAGGTGGTTTGGGAAAATAAATTCGAAGTATTTAGCTGAAGTGTATTTTATTTGTGTTTAGTTCTTTTTTTTAACTTGTAGTTCTAAATTGGAAGATTATTGTGGTATTGAAATATAAAAATAAAATTATATTTTATTATTTTTCATCGCTCAAAATAAGCGTCACACTCGCAGAAGCCAGTATACCCGTAGAAACGGGGTGCATTTATCGAGACTTTCAACTGTCAGGTCAAGGCTCCAAAGGCGATATGAGGGTGGCGGCTCACAACAGTTTTTGTTTGCTACATGGATAATTTTAGTTCAGCTGGGTGTCTTTCCTTTTGTTATATTTCTTTAAGAGTTCAAAATGTGATTTTCTCTGTAAAACTTAATGGATTTCACACACCTTAGTTGCTCTGTGGATTCTTTTAAAAAGCAGTTAAAAAGTTTTCTGTTCAAACAAGCCTTTTGTTGATCTACGTATTTTATATTCTTTACATTCTTTACATTTGATCTTTTACATTGTGTATAATGTCTATTGATTGTATTGTTTATTTTAATATTTGTGTACAGCGCTTTGTGACTGCCTGTCTGTTAATAAATAAACTTTACTTACTTACTTACTTTAGTTGTTCACACAAAGCATAAAGGTAAAAAAAACAATATATACAGTGTTATCTTCATTTTAGATGTCAAAAAGTATTTGCGGCTCCCAGTGTTTTCTTTTGCGTGGAAACCGGGTCCAAGTGGCTCTTTGGGTGTTAAAGGTTGCTGACCCCTGACTAGGGATGGGTATTGATAAGATTTTCACGATTCCGATTCCATTTTCGATTCTGTTTAACGATTCGATTCTTTATCGATTCTTTTTAAAAAGGAGAACCCTAAGGTCGATTAGCTTAGAACTTTGTTTTATATCTTATCTTTGAACAAGATAGAAATTTAGGAGTAACATGGCCTTACAAACCTAACAGTGAGATCTTAAGAGATCCACAGCCTACGGCTCTTTAATGGGGTGTCACAGAGTCCCCAGGAAAAATTTTTTTTAAATGTAAAACAATAAAATAAATATTCTTCTGTAGCAATAACAAAGTATAACATAAATTATTCTGTAGCAATTACACAAGAATATCCAGTAATGGCCCTGCCTACAATTAAACACATTCACTTACCGAAAATCGGGGGCATCTGCTGTGGCAAATGGGTGCAAGCCTTTTACCACAAACTTAGTCACTGCTCGGTGACATTTGTCTATCCTGGCCTGAAAGGAGACGATACCGGTAGACTGCAGCGAGAACTGCCAGCCAGACTCTGTCTGTCTCATCATGGTCACCTAAATGCACAATAATGGCAGGTTTTGTAATAAGGCAGCTCGCGCTAACATAATATGCACTGTTAGGTGATTATTTACCTGCCGCATTAACGGGAGAGGACGTGCAAACGTTACTGCTGCTGCTGGGTTGAGATTCACGAGTCCGGAGCGGAATTAAAAACACGACATTCATTTAAGGTCATCGCGTGTTTTGTGAGCAAATGCTTTTGCATATTCGTAGTGTTTCCTCCCTTAAATAATAATAATAATGGATTGGATTTATATAGCGCTTTTCAAGGCACCCAAAGCGCCAAAATATCTACTTTGCAAGTATTGCAAGCTGCCCTGTTGTCATCCGTTCTTGTAAAGTATGACCAAACTTTTGAGACTGCGGTAAAGTGAGCCGTCATTTGTGAGCCGCGGTCAAGCCAGCCGCCTCCTATCCGCCGCATAAATTTCCTTGCGCTTTTACACCAGTCTTTACGGTAGCGCCTTTTCGCTTTATATCCTGATTGAAAGCCTAGACTCGCGCACACATGCACGCGCGTGAACAGTCACACGCACGCGCGCACACAAATTACAATGGAACAGCCCAATACAGCCATCGTGACAGTCTGGTTGCATATTCAAAAATTCATTAAAAATCATTCTTAAAAGTTGACGCCAAGCTTTCAACACAATCCTCTTCTCGGACACCGACTTTACCTCTGGGCCAGTTTTTACCCAGATTTACTGTAATATTACTCAGAAATCACAGTAAACTCATATTCAGTGCAATACAGTCAATGCACTACAATTATGTTTATTTCAAAAATTCATTAAAAGTCATCCTGAATAGTTGAGGTCCAACTTTCAACACATCCCCCTCTGGGACACCTACTGTACCTGTGTGCCAATTTTCATCCAGATTTACTGTAGAATTCCTCAGAAATTAAAGGGTACTTGTATCCAATGCAGTCGGCCAATACAGTAGAATTATGTCAATTTTCAGAAATTCATTAAAAATCATCCTGAGTAGTTGATGTACAACTTTCAACACATCCCCCTCTGGGACACCTACTGTACCTGTGTGCCAGGTTTCAGACAGATTTACTGTAGAATTCCTCAGAAATTAATGGAAACATTTATTCAATCTAATACAGCCAATACACTACAAATATGTCAATTTTCAAAAATTCATGAAAAATCATCCTGAGTAGTTGATGTCCAACTTTCAACACATCCCTCCTCTGGGACACCTACTGTACCTGTGTGCCAAGTTTCAGCCAGATTTACTGTAAAATTCCTCAGAAATAAAAGGAAACTTATATTCAATTCAATACAGCCAATACAATAGAATTATGTCAATTTTCCAAAATTCATTAAAAATCATCCTGAGTAGTTGATGTACAACTTTCAACACATCCCCCTCTGGGACACCTACTGTACCTGTGTGCCAGGTTTCAGCCCGATTTACTGTAGAATTCCTCAGAAATTAAAGGGTACTTTATTCAATTCAATACAGTCAATACAATAGAATTATGTCAATTTTCAAAAATTCATTAAAAATCATCCTGAGTAGTTGATGTACAACTTTCAACACATCCCCCCTCTGGGACACCTACTGTACCTGTGTGCCAGGTTTCATCCAGATTTACTGTAGAATTCCTCAGAAATTAAAGGGTACTTGTATTCAATGCAGTCGGCCAATACACTACAATTATGTCAATTTTCAAAAATTCATTAAAAATCATCCTGAGTAGTTGATGTACAACTTTCAACACATCCCCCTCTGGGACACCTACTGTACCTGTGTGCCAGGTTTCATCCAGATTTACTGTAGAATTCCTCAGAAATTAAAGGGTACTTGTATCCAATGCAGTCGGCCAATAAACTACAATTATGTCAATTTTGAAAAATTCATTAAAAATCATCCTGAGTAGTTGATGTACAACTTTCAACACATCCCCCCTCTGGGACACCTACTGTACCTGTGTGCCAGGTTTCAGCCAGATTTACTGTAGAATTCCTCAGAAATTAAAGGGTACTTGTATTCAATGCAGTCGGCCAATACAGTAGAATTATGTCAATTTTCAGAAATTCATTAAAAATCATCCTGAGTAGTTGATGTACAACTTTCAACACATCCCCCCTCTGGGACACCTACTGTACCTGTGTGCCAGGTTTCAGCCAGATTTACTGTAGAATTCCTCAGAAATTAATGGAAACATTTATTCAATCTAATACAGCCAATACACTACAATTGTGTCAATTTTCAAAATTCATGAAAAATCATCCTGAGTAGTTGATGTCCAACTTTCAACACATCCCCCCTCTGGGACACCTACTGTACCTGTGTGCCAAGTTTCATCCAGATTTACTGTAGAACTCCTCAGAAATGAATGGAAACATTTATTCAATTCAATACAGTCAATACACTACAATTATGGAAATTTCAAAAATTCATTAAAAATCACCCATAATAGTTGAGGTCCAACTTTCAACACTTTCTTACTCTGGGCGTCCTACCGTACCTCTGGGCCAAGTTACATCTCAATTCACTGTAATCTTTATCAAAAATTGAAAGAACAATTATATGTCAATGCTGGATGTGTGTCCTTTCAAAGTGACACTAAATAACAGAACTCAGGCACATCAGGGAATAATCCAAAAGGCGGATTTATTAAACGAAAACAACATACAAAATATCTCTAACCCATACTACATAACCTAAAAAGAAACAAAGGGACACTTAGAAGCACAAGGAAACAATACTGAAAGGGCAAGAGACACAGTCCAAACACAATCCACAACTAAAATGCCAAAAGAACA